GACATTGGTGTGATTTCGAAGAACATTGAGCAGCAGATGCTTGGACCTCAACCGAAGACGCAAGGAAAGGCATCTGAAATGCCTTCCAATCCATTGGAAGTTGAACAGCGTGAAGTGACACATCTTTCTTTCGCAAGTTGGTGTGATGTTTGTGTTCGAAGCAAGTCGAGGCATGATCCAACAGTTCACAACGCAGACTTGGAGAGAGAGAGCAGACAGGGATTTCACACATTCAGCTTGATTGGATGTTTCTTGGACAGCAGTGCCCTTCATTGGTGATGATCGATTCAGATACAAGGTACGGTGCTGTTTGTCCTACTAGGTCAAAAGGTGTTTGGCGATCAGTGGCAGAATTTGTTGTGAAGTTTTCCTTGGAGTTGAACTACACGTAGAGGTTTGTTTCGTGATGGACTCAGAGCCTGCGACATTAGGACTTCTTGACGTGATTGTTGCTGTGAGACAGGAGATGGGTTTCAAGGCAAGCAAGCAACACGGCAAACCGTACCACAAGGGAAGAACAGCCAAGGTTGAACGGTATATACAAACTGTCAAACGACAAGCAAGTTCATTGATGGTGAGTGTTGAAGACAAGATCCATGAGACATTGCCAGACTACCATAGTCTTCGAGCTTGGGCACTTACGCATAGTGTGTTTTTGCTGAACAGGTTCCATGAGCATTCAGGCATTCCCATTCGGTGAATTCGTGTTTGGACTCAAGAAGCGTTCCAAGAAGTCAGGCATGAACATATGGCTCGGAGGAATTTGGGTTGGCAAAGAGTCTACAAGTGATATGAATATTGTGGTCACAGCAAATGGTCGATTTACAACTCGTTCAGTTCGACGATGTTCGAATGCTTGGAGAAAGGATGTGATTTTATCAATTTTGCATTCACCATGGAGCAAGAACAAAGCAGACAAGGTTCCAGGCATGCTGGAGGCACCCCTGCCTGTGATTGAAGAGAAAGGTGATCCAACAGAACCAGAACCGAGACAACCCGTCTTGCTTCCTTCAGGAGATGTGGACGAAGAAGCTGAGTTGGTCTTTGGAGCTGATGATTATGCCCCAACAGAAGCAAGTCCAGTTGGAACGCCTACACAACAGTCGCAACAACAACCATTGGTACAAGATGAGTTGAGTAGGTTGTCAGAAGATCAAAGACGAAATTTGTTGGATTTGCCGATGCAAACGCAACCAGAGTCGACCATGGAGGACGCCCCAGCTGGTGAGAAAAGAGAAGCTGTAAGTGAAGAACCTCGGGAGCGAAAGTCAGCAAGGTTAGATCGTGAAGGCAGCCCGAGTTCCTCTCAGCTGTACGCACCATTTTTCGCTGGAAAGGTGGAGATTCAGTCCCAACAACTACATGATGATGAGTGTTGGGAGGAAGATATGGATTGTGAGATGGTGGAGTTCGACGTTGATGAGATCCCCACTGACTACAAGGGCGAGCAACCGCCAGAGATTCCACCAGAGGACCTTGAACAGTTGGACGGAGAAGCCATGAAAACAGAAGTTGACAAGCTTTCAAAACTTGGGGTGGTTAAGGTGTTGTTGGAAGAAGAACGAGATCCCAATGGCAAGTTTGTTGACCTTCGTGAAGTGTTTGATTGGAGGAAACGAGATGGTCAATGGAGAAGGCGGTGCAGGATTGTTGCCAGGGACTTCAAAACAGGTCCTTCCAATGAAGATACGTTTTTGTCCCACATCGGCATATGGTGTCATTCGATTGTTCTTGATGTGCCATTTGATCTATGGATGGAAGATCACATGTCTTGATATCAGTGACGCATATCTTACAGTCCCACAGGTTGAAATATGTTATGTGGCAATTCGTCCTTGGATTCAGAAGTTGTTGAGTCTCCCTTCAAATGCATTGTGGGAGCTCAAGAGAGTTTTGCCAGGTCAAAGGAATGGTGCACAGCGGTGGTTCAATGCTTTCAGTGAGAAGTTGAGACAACTTGGATTTGTGCAGTGTCAGGCTATGCCTTCGGTGTTACGACATGAGCGCAAGAAGATTGTTATCAATGTGCATGTTGATGATGAGCTGATTGCAAGTGAGACCACCGAAGATGCATTGTGGTTGATTCGAGAGTTCAAGAAATTTTACAAGTTGCAGATCGAAGGGCCATACCCGGTTCAGAAACTTGGAAATGGAGAAGAGGTGACCTATCTCAAGAAGACATACCTTTTCAAAGAAGATGGACTTTACGTCAAACCGAATTCCAAGTATGTGGAGAGTCTGTTGGCCTTGTATGATTTGCACGGGAGGAAAGAGAAACAGGTTCCAGATCACAGTCTTTTGTGTCAGGTTGATGCGTCAGAGGATCTGGACGGGCCGAGACAGGCAAAGTTTCGAAGTGGGCTTGGCATTGCAATGTACCTTGCACATGACAGAGTTGACATTCAATTTTGTGTCAAAACGCTTGCATCGTGGATGAAGTCACCAACAGTACAAGCAGAGAAAGGTACAAGAGATTTTGCTTTTCACATGCCATACAGCCAGGTTGGTACAAAGAAGGTTTACAAGCTGCACAGTGTCAATGAGTACCCAGAGTCAGAGATTCATTGTATGGAGGTGTACTGTGACTCAGATTGGGCCGGTGGTCCGAAGCGGCGTTCAACTACATCGGTGATGATTTTGACGAATGGTTTACTCTGTTTATCATTCAGCCGCACTCAAAAGAGCACAGCACTGTCATCCTGTGGAGCTGAGGTACTAGCTATGACAGCAGGAGCAAGCGAAGCATTACTTTTGAAAGCAGTTTGGACATTCATGGTACAACAAAGTTGTGAAGTGGAGATGAGGTCAGACAGCAGTTCAGGCCGACAGTGGTTGCAACGAACAGGGCTTGGACGACTCAAACATGTTGACGTAAGACTATGTTGGTTGCAGTCAGCATTGCAACAGAGAACATTGGATGTTTTGCCAATAGGGACGAAGTTAAATTTGGCAGACCTCAACACCGAGAAGCTAAGTCAAGCACGTCGACAATTCCTTTTATATTTCCTTGGAGTTGTGAGATTGAACGATGAAGGAGAGTTGAAAGAGAGAGTTGGTGAACAAGAACATTTGGATTCTTTGGCATCCGAGATGTGGAAACAACAGATTCAAAATGTCACGAGATGGAGCAAGAACAGAACACACAAGTTGGCACAATGTGCGATGATGTTGCAAGCAATTTCATTGAAAGGTTGTGGAGAACAAGATGCACCAAAGTCTGCTGAACAGAGCGGAAACCACCAAGTGGTATATACATTGGTCATTTTGATGATCCTGGGTGCTTGCAATTATTTGTACACACATTGGAATGATTTCCAGAGGCTTCGAGAAAGGCTGGGCAGGAAAAGCAAACGCGAAGAGATCCCAGTTTCAGTTCCCGAACCAGAACAAGAGTTGGCTACGGCAGGTGATGTGACAATGGGTGATGAGTCAAACATGGAAGCCAATGAACAAGCAAGTTCGGCCAGTGCCACCAAAGCACCCTCCACCTCGTGGACCTCCACCACGAGCTCCAGTGTTTTCCCCCATTCCGGTGGATCCGCCACCGAGATGGGAAGCATGGTCGCCAGATTGGTTTTTATACTGGATGCTTGGAAGAGTTGAAGATCGCATTAGACGCAGAGGTCAAAGAATGGACCATGATTGGCAGCGAAGATACTACCGTAGACAACAGATTCTTCAAATGCAGTTGGGCATTCTGGAACAAAACCACAGTGAAGGAGTTCGCCGACGAGCTCACATGATGTGTCGGGGAATGACAGACCTATCACCCGACAGTGGAAGTGTTCCAGGTCCAGATATACAGGAAGAGGATGAACCTGAAGCTGAAGGTGGTGGAGAAGGTGAGAGTATAGATACTTATGTCTATACGACTGGAACAGCAATGGATGATAGAATGAGACAACACATTGATGAACAAGACGGTTTTTCACTCCGAGCACACTACCAGGCAGAAGTTTGCAAGCAGATACAACACAAGCAACACAAGGTGACAACCAGGCACCAGAGAGTGATCAAGATGATGCTGATGAAGAGACAACATCCCAGATGCGACGCAGATATTTACAATCCAGTTTGGATGAAGTTAGTGATCCTGAATATTGGCAGCAGTTGCGTCATTTTGACAGCGAACCAGAGTCCGGTGACGACAGCAATACAAGTCATTGAATTCAATTTGAATGTGGTATGCATGTTTGTTGGAGTGTTTTGTGAACCATCTGAACCATAGACGCTCAAAGTTTGTGTGTGCCGTGAACCAGCTGAACCACGGTACAAAACGACATTTACTGGGACCACGATGGAATTTACATGCAAAGCTGCAAAGCAATTTACAAATTTTGGGTGAACAAATATGGATGTGTGAAACCAACTGAACCACACAATCCAGTGCAGAATTTGTGAAAGTTTTCATCGAAGTAGCATTTCTAAATGCCGGAACAGAATGTATCATAGATACATTGAGTGCAAGAGACCTTTTTCAGTTCTACATTGCAGTGGTAGATCTTGCACAAAATCGAGAAGTGTACAAAAGAGTGATGCGGGAACTTAGTCGTTTCGCATCAAGGCTGGGTGTTGGCCTTTTTCAATGGTTTAGGTACAAACATGTACAGACTTGTTAGTGCACTGTTTGCTAGTTGAAAACTACTCCGCTACCGAAGCGCGTGGATCAAAACAAGCGTGCTACCAAACAGTTTTCCAAACAAATGCGCAGTGGCCTTGCGCAAGGGGCAGAAGGTCACACACGTAAGATGTCAACCTTTTTGATTCTGCAATGGTGAAACGGATTTTTGTGATTGATTGTTGGAACACGCAGCGAAGGCTTCGCAAAAAGCATGTTAGAGGAAAAATTGCGCCAGGACTGGCAAAAATGTTATCCCGCAAATTGGTTGCAATGACAGACACTTTTTTGGACATGGAGTTGTGGTTTGGTGTACTTCCTCTGCCACAATCAGGGCAATTACAAAAACAAACTAAAAGAACATATTCTGGAAGATGACAACATCAACCAGTGATGTTGCAGTAATTTAGTGCCGCTTTAGCCACATCAATGTTGACGTTTGACGTTGTGCATTGCTTTTGTTGCATTAGTTCATTCACACAAACTTCATGCGCATAAACGGACTTGTGGCAGTTTTTCCATTGAAAAGACAGTTTGGACATTCATGGTCGTTTTTGAAGATGAACAATCTTGTGATTTTTTTGTTTTCCAAAAAATGTGCCGAAAAAAGGACCAAGCAAACTTTGCATGTGATTTTTACATTTTTCTTTATGAAAAACGTGGTTGGCCCAAACATTTATTTTGTATAAAAAAACTTAGCAATTGGCCTTGTGGCAAAGACAGCTGCCAAGGAGTGAACTCAACTCTCTTGCATCGAAGATTTGACGGCATTAACCAGACGCTGTGTTTTTGCAAGGACATGTGGTGGCGGTGGTGGTTGCTTTTCACACAAGCGGCCGCTCTTGCAGGGCCATGGATGCAGGAACCATGAAGTTTTTGTATTTTACCATATATATGCTGTAGGCAACTGTGTTTTTCTCATTAGACATGCCGCATGTTACCAAACATTCAGGCGAAGCCGCAGCTGGAGGTGTTGCACCAATGGGTGGAAATGGAGTTCGTTTGGGTCTCGGTTGTGTGTGGTTTTGGATGAATCAAACCGAAGGAATCATGCTCGTGGTTGGGTTGTTTTTTGGCGCTTTCAGACTTGCAGCCAGGAATGGCCAAATGCCACAGCACGCAGGGTCCTTGATACTCCTTGTTGCCAGTGTCAATGTCTTGGGTGGATGGATGCATGGAATTAGCAGCAAACAAAGTGTGATGAGCCCGGAAACACAATGTCAAGCCAAATCGAGTTTTTTCTAATTCACCTTCCATCTTTCACAAAACAGAACTCTTTTGACACGTTTGCAGATTCGATCTGTTCTGCGATCGCTCAGGTGAGACTGCATTGCAATCTCAAAAATATCGTCCAGAGCACAATGTTCTTGCAGGATCAGTCTCGCAATCTAAGCACGTTTTGGAGTCAGTATGCATTGTTGGCTCGTGGGCGAACGCTTGCGAGGACTGAAAGTTTGTGGGCCAGAGGCACGATGTGTAGGATCATTCGGACTAGCTGCAACATCATTGTGGCACAGTCTGACAGCTACACTCCTGTGAAGGGAAATGACATCCATGAATGACCGCAGTCGAACGGTTCACCTCCTTAACGAGGATCATCCATTTCAAAGTACGACCTTTTGGCATTTGCAGGTAGCATCGAGATGTACACACCAGATGATCTTTGTCACTGTTCCCCGCTGGGCCACTGGTGTACCTTGCTTGACCTCAGGCTTATGCTCACAAACACAATGGCAAAGAACATTTGCAGAACAGTTCACTTTGGGGGTGGCCACCCAATAGGTTCACTGAACAGTTTGACTGTTGATGGAATCGAGTAACTTGGATAACTAAGGTGCCAGCCTCCTTGAACTTGCTCACAGATTCGCAGGGCCAGGCGAAGTTGCAACCATGGCCGTCCATGGAGGCTCAGGATCCGCAGAATTGCAGCAACATCCAGCAATTTGGATGATATTAAGCCCTTTCAAGTCCTTTTGATGTTTGCTTTTGTTGCCAATTGATTTTTGGCTAGAGGTTATGCAATTCCAGCAGAATAGCATAAAGAATGTACGCAGTATTGTCCAAAGCACATTGTTTAGCTTCGAACAACGACAAATTTGGAGGTATGTCCAGTCAATGGAGATCGACCCGCAGGGTGTAATGTGGGTTGTTGATGTTGGCAGAAAGTACTTCACCGAAACTTCAGATTCTTGCTTACAATGTCTGCTCAGTCCGGAATATGTGCGCGGTTGTGCTGTGCCACGATTGCAAACACTGCTGTGGAGCAAGAGAGCGTTCAATCTCATTCTGGCGTCAAGGATGACAAGTGCCCTCCAAAGATTTTGCTTATCGATATCCCAAGTGGAGACATTATTGACTCCTATGTATTTCCAGACGAGGCATTTTGGAGAGACTTCTGTTTAGTTTATACAGAATCATACTGTTTAGTTTTTATGCAGAGAGAGCCCTTTTAGTCGAGCTTTTGTTCATACTTTTTTGCTCAAGGTGGCCCCTTACACTGGTTCGTTCCTGAACGACATTGTGCTGGATGTGGAGCATCAAATGGCTTACATCTCAAGCACAGGTCGGTTGTGCAAGATGCTCACAGGCTGATAGCGGTTGAAAATCCTTGTCAGTTTGGCAGGCAACACTCCGGCTGACAAGGGAGCAATAATTGTTTATGACAGAGCCAACAAAAGGACAGCAACATGAAAAACAATCAGGGGTGCTGAGATTTTGCTGCAAATGGCCTGATGTACAGCTTTTCATTTAAAGTGCGAGTACAAGTTGTTGCTTTTTTGGGCTTGACTCAGACTCGCATGAAGTGTTTGGAGGCAAAACATGTGCAAAGGGGGCACTATTCTGTCAGGAGCCGACGTATCGAAGACAGGAGCACACACGCAGAACACGGGGCAAGGCTTGAGTAGTTGTTATGCCTCAAGACTCTCTGTTTCTCTCCCTCTCTCTCTCTCTCTTTCTCTCTTTGCCCTTCTTACAACTGAGAGTGAGTTCCAGTGAAAGCTGCAGGCTTGTGATCCACTCCACTGACTACAGCAAGCTGCTAGAAGGGTTGCCAGTTGATGGCATTGCGCTGACGCCTGATGGTGAAAGGATCTTCTACAGCGCTCTGGGTGGAACAGAGCTGCATCTGGGACGATTGTTAGATTTCTTTGCCTTGTAAAGTGACAGCCGAAGGGGAGGTTCCTTTCCGTTGAATTCATATTTTTTTGATAAGCACGTACATGGAGTTTGAGTTGCTCAAGGTATTCAATCAGTGCTGCAAAGGCCACGTTTGCTCGCTTGTCCAAAGTTGGCTCACCCAGTCAACTATCATGAATTACCGCCATAACAATTAGTCACCTGCATGGTCCTGCACACGCTTTTTGGCAAACTTAACACTAGTGCTTTTTGTAGACGGATTCTCTTTTTTGTTTTGCTCTGAATTGACACTGGGTTTGAAGAAATGACACATTTATGAGCTCTGCAAAAGATGGCAGGCCAGAAACTTCTCTGTGAATGTGAGCTCCGTTCTCGCAAGTGTGGACAGTCATGGAAAGAAATCCAGCTCCTTGACCAAACTGGATGAACTATTGAACCGTAGTAGACTTGTCATGCCTGAGTGTAGGTCTGGAGAGTCCAGCAAAGAAGAGACTGCAGGCAATTCTGATGGCATGACATTTGGCGCAGATGGCTTTCTGTATTTTGGCGGGCTGACTATGGACAGCAGCTTGCTTATTGACAAGTTGGCACGTGGCAAGCCGCATTAGCTCACGAAGTTGCATTTTCATTTCCATTTTTCCCCAAACAGAACAGTTTACTGTTAGGGGTTCTCAATTCTTTCTTAAGATGTGTCCGCCCTTTGTGTCACTGCTGGTGTCCGCCCTTTTCCGCTGGCCATGTAGCATTTCTATTCATTTGT